GCTGATGCAATTGGTGCGCGATGTACAAAGCCCCTGGTTCGGGGTCAACCTCGATACCGGCAACTTCCACAGCCAAGATGTTTATGGGGATCTTTCCCAGTTGGCACCCTACGCCCTCAACGTACAGGTGAAGGTCGTAATCAAGCCCGAAGGCGGCTCGAAACAACCGACCGATTTCAATCGCCTGGCCGCAATCCTGCGGGAATCGGGCTACCGGGGATATATCGTGCTCGAATACGAAGAGTCGGAAGACCCTCGCGTGGCGTGTCCCCGTTACGTCGACGAATTGAGAGATGCGTTTCTCTCCTGATTCCCCGCTTTCTAGTGTCGTCAGTTGCTATTCCTCTGCAGACACCTCAAACTGGCAGACACCTCAAACTGAGTGTCCCTCCGATCGGGTGCTGCAGGCTCTGCCTGCACATCCTTTTTTTCAAACTTCCCACCACACCAACTGTGTTAAGAAAGACAAACAGAATGACGCCTTTTCGAGCGGCTTGTTACCCACTTCTCGCGGCACTGGTCCTTCTAACGAACATGGTTGCCCTGGCTGAGCCAACAGGCGAGGCGAAAGCCGATGCTTCTCAAGAGAAGATAGACAAGAAAGCGAAAGCCGTCATCGATGGTTTCTCCGAGTTCTTCACCGAGTTGAAGGGTTTCAAGACAGAACTCAACATCGAACTCAAGATGGACTTGGGAGGCAACAAGCAGGAACTCAAAGTCGAAGACCGCATCGCAGCCCAGCGGCCCAATCTCTTTTCGCTCGAAGCCGATAGCAGTACGGGTGGGGGTGCCGTGGTGAAGGCCGACGGTAAGGACCTCTGGATCTTGCTTGGAGCGTTCAATAAGTACTTCGCCAGCGAGGCCCCCGAGCAGCTCAGCGACCTGACGTCGATGCAGACCGTGATGGGCATCGCCGCCATGGGGAACTCCGGAAAAATAACGCTCGCGATGCTCTCAGAAGACCCAGCCGAAGCCCTGATGCTGGGGGTCAAGTCACTCTCCTACGTTGGCGAGGAAGAAGTCGACGGCGTCACGTGCGACCACCTCGCCGGGAGCGAGGAAAGCATGGACTGGGAGCTGTGGATTGAAAAAGGTGACCAGCCAGTCGTGCGAAAGTTCGTGCCCGATCTCACGAAGACCTTCAAAATGATGTTCGAGCGGATGCCCAAGGAGCAGCTCGAACAGCTCAAAGGTTGGAAAGCTGAGAACATCGCTCTGTATACGAACTGGGAAATCAATCCCGAGTTCGCAGCCGACACCTTCGCCTTCACGGCCCCGGAAGATGCAACCGAAGTCGATTCGTTCAACGACATGCTGGGCCAGGGTTCCAGTGCCGGACCTCAAGAGTTACTAGGAAAGGCGGCCCCCGAATTCACGCTCGAGCTTCTAGATGGCAAAGAACTGAACTTGGCTGATCATAAGGACAAGGACGTGGTCATCCTCGACTTTTGGGCCAGCTGGTGTGGGCCCTGCCGTCAGGCGATGCCCGTGATCGACGAAGTGGCCGAGTCCTACAAAGACAAGGGCGTGAAACTCTACGCAGTGAACATCCAAGAAGACGTCGATACCATTCGCGACGTACTCGAAAGCGATGAACTGGATGTTACCGTGGCCATGGATACCGATGGTGAAGTCGCCCAACTGTACAAGGCCAACGCCATCCCGCAGACGGTGATCATCGGCAAAGACGGCACCGTCCAGGTCGTGCACGTCGGCATGCCACCGGCTTCGCAGCTTCGCGAAGAACTCGATGCACTCCTCGCCGGTGAAGTTCTTGCCGAACCGGCCGACGATGAGGAAACCGAGCCAGAAGCGAAAACTGAGGCTGCTGAAGAAGACGAATAGAACCGCAGCGGCGATCACGAACGACCTCACGGCGAGATGACGCCGCAGCTGCGCGCTTCCGGATTGAACTAACCTCGCTAACCAGCGGGCAGTCTATCGATCTTTTGAAGACTGACGACGCTTACTGCGAGAGTACGCCGTAACGCTTCTCATCGAGCCCCAGCCGCTTCATCTTCTTGTAGAGGGTCGTTCGGTTCACGCCCAGCGCGTCGGCCGTCTCGTGTCGATTCCAGTTGTGCTTTTCCAGCACTTCCAGAATGATCTGCCGCTCAGGGCCTTCCAGGGCTTCCTTTAGCGTCTGCCCGGTGGTCGACTGGACGCTGACGCCCATGGCGGCCGAAACTTGCGGCGGGAGATCGTCGACCCCAACGATGTTGTCCTTGCCCAGCAACACGCCACGCTCCACAACGTTCTGCAGTTCGCGAACATTGCCCGGCCAGTTATATCGCTGCAGTGCCGAGATGGCCTCGTCGGTGAATCCTCGCACTTCGCGTCCGCTGTCTTCGGCAACCTCTTGCAAGAAGTGGTGCGCCAATCCGGGGATATCCGAAACACGGTCACGAAGCGGTGGCAGCTCAATGTTGATCACATTGACCCGATAGTAAAGGTCTTGTCGGAACCGCCCTTCGGCGACCATCTTTCCGAGGTTTTCGTTCGTCGCCAGAATCACACGGGTATCAACACGATGCGTTTTCGTTCCGCCCACCGCTTCGAACTCGAATTCTTGCAGCACTCGCAGCAGTTTCACCTGCAGGCTCTGGCTCGCGGTGCCAATTTCGTCGAGGAAGATCGTCCCCGTGTCGGCCTGGAGAAACTTACCGACCTTGTCACCCGTGGCGCCCGTGAACGAGCCTGCCACGTGACCGAACAGTTCGCTCTCAAGCAGTTGCTCCGGCAGCGCACCGCAGGCAACTTCAATGAAAGGCTTATCGCGACGCGAGCTGCGGCGATGAATCGCACGGGCGATGAGCGATTTTCCAGTCCCGCTTTCGCCGGTGATCAGCACGCTGGCCTTCGTGTCGGCCACACTGTCGATTACGTCGAACACCCGCAACATGCGGTCATCGCGGCCGACGACGTTATCCAGACCGAACCGCTGATCGAGTTGTTGCTTGAGGCTGATATTCTCGCGGATGACCTCACGCTGTCCGAGCGCTCGCTGGATGGTCATCTCGAGTTCTTGATCGATGATCGGCTTCGTAAGATAGTCGAACGCCCCGGCCCGAATGGCTTCCATGGCCGAGGTGACCGTTCCGTAGCCGCTGATCATGACGACCGAGGTGTGAGGATGGTTGTCAGCACAGTGCTCGAGGATCTGCATGCCGTCTTCGTCACGCAGACAAACGTCGGCCAGCACCAGGTCGTAGTTGCGTTCGCCTAGCTTGGCGATGCATTGTCCGACGCTAGAGGCCGTGTCCACATGGTGGCCTTGCTCGCGGAGCCAGCCAGCCATGCTGTCGAGTATCTGACGATCATCATCAACCAGGATCAGAGAACCGGTTTTCATTCGCTCTTCCCAACTCTCGGGGCGACCCAGCCGGGTTTGCCGGTAGGTAGATTGCTTTGGTTTCTGCCACGCGCAACACACAGTCGCCGCGCGACGTCGGGAGGAGGGGATAACTGTTCCTAAAGGGGTACCGTGTCAGGGCCCGTCGTCGAGACGACCGCGACTTCTCAGACGAAGCGTCGGACTGTGCAGTGCCATAGGTACGCACAGCCGACGATGGTTGGGGGGGAGATGCTTCGTCTGTACCCGTCGAAGTTTATCTACGTTGCAGGATGCGTTGAGTCAACGTGACCGCTGCATGAACTAAGTGTCCTAGCGTCGTAAGCCGAGAGGTGAGGTCTATCTGGCAGCCTTATGGGGGGTATTCTGTTTTCTCCGCTAGTGTCAGCAGACTGATGCCCCGGCTAATAAATACGAGATCAGAACGCTCGCCTCGATTGAGGCGGGAAACCCCCTGTAATAATCGATAGCACTGATACTTACGACATTCGCTGTATGAGCTCCGGTGATGCTAAGTCGAATTGGCATGAACCCGCACTGACCAAAAGGCATTTCCAAAGATTAATGTTGAGAGAGAGCCGCACCCAGCGGTGAGAGCCGATGCTTGTTCTCGACGAACAGGGCGTCGTGTGGATAATTGACGCATCTACTTGCCTTCAGGGGTGGGGGCTCCCCATAATGGAGGGCCAGCAAGCAGGGAGTCGTCCCTTCATCAAAGCTCTTCGCAACACGTGCGGCGACACATGTTTGTTGGCCTCAGAGTTTAGCGATCTTCTCGGGTGACGTCTGAGTTCGTCTGCAAGACTGGCAACGATGTTTCGCTATGTGAGGAACCGGCTTTCGCGTGTTTTCTCACGCGATAACCCGCTTTTCGGAACTTGAATTGCGGCTGCTTTGATTTCAAGACTCGTCATCGGGTCACAACATAACTGGATAATGTCTTGTCGGGTTGAAGGAGACTGGGCGGATGAGCGTAAGAGTTCTCATTGCTGACGACCACGAAGTAGTACGTTCTGGATTGATTAGCCTGCTTTCCGGCTCGGATGTCGAAATCGTGGCCGAAGCCACCAACGGGAAAGAAGCGGTGGCCCTGGCACAGGAAACCAGCCCCGACGTGGTGCTGTTGGACATCCGCATGCCAGTGCAAGATGGCCTCTCGGCCCTGGAGTCCTTGCGTGCGGTGCTGCCCGAGATGCCGATCGTGATGCTGTCGACCTACGACAACCCCACCTACATGGCCCGTGCACTTGCCCTGGGAGCTAACGACTACCTTCTCAAGGGCAGCCCTCGCGAGAAACTCGTCGAAAGTATCAAAGCCGTGGCCACCGGCGAACCGGCCCCGCCGTCCGATCACTTACAGCGCATCGCCGGAGCAATGGAAACCACTCAGGTCATTCAAGAAGACGACCTGACGCTGACCAAACGCGAGACCCAGGTGCTACGTCACATCGCACTAGGGCTCAGCAACAAAGAGATCGGTCGCTCGCTGGCCATCAGCATCGAGACAGTCAAAGAACACGTGCAGAACATCCTTCGCAAGATCAACGCCACCGACCGCACCCAGGCCGCGGTTTGGGCCGTGCGAAAGGGATTCGTTTAATCCTGCAGTCGCGTTTCACGTAGCAGCTGCAAGCATCAGGTCAAACAATCAACGGGCCCGAGGGTGAGCTTTCTCATAGGCCGCCCTCAGGCTGGCCGTGCTGATGTGCGTGTAGATCTGAGTCGTCGATAGACTCTTGTGGCCCAATAGTTCTTGCACGCTACGGATATCAGCCCCGCGATCGAGCAAGTGCGTGGCAAAACTATGCCGCAACGTGTGAGGGCTGGTCCGCTGATCGAGCCCGGTTTCGGCCAGGTATTTCTCGAGCATCCGCCCCACGCTGCGCGTCGTGAGCCGCTTCCCAAACCGGTTCAGGAACACCGGCGACTGACCGTTCTTCTGCTCGCTACCGTCGAGTCGCCGTATCTTCAACCATCGCCGCAACGCACGGGAAGCAAACGATCCGATCGGCGAGAGTCGCTCGCGGCGTCCTTTACCGCGTACCCGAATCACACCTGCGGCGAAGTCGAGGTCTTCCTCGTTCAGCCCCACTAACTCGCTCACACGCAGCCCAGCGGAGTACAGCGTCTCGAGGATCGCCCGATCGCGAATACCGAACTGATCGTCGGCCGGTGGAGCCTCGAGCAACTGCCCTAGCTCTTCAGTCGAAAGAAAGTGCGGCAATCGGCGGGGCTTGCGAGGATTCCTCAGTGGCTTAGCCGGGTTCGACTTCGTCCAGCCGTCGCGTTGGCCGAAGCGAAAGAAACTCCGCATCGACGCCAACCGTCGGGCGATGGTCGTCTTGGCATAGCCCGACTCGTGCAAGTACGACGTGTAACCACGAAGATCAAGCGTCGTGATGGCGCTCGGCAGCGGTGCAGCCCCGTAGCTTTCTTCCAAGTATTCGGCCAGCGCTGTCAGATCTTCGCGATAGCTCTTGATCGTCAGTGGCGAGGCGTTGCGCTCAACCGACTGATAGCGGAGAAAGCGACCGATTGCTTGAACCAGGGAGCCCGAGGCGCCGTTCTGGGTGTCGCCTCGGGCTGGTCGATCTTGCCGCGCTGGGGTGGAAATGCTCAACGGTCAGTTCCCGGAGCGTGCTGGCGCGGCGTGAGACGAATCGTGCAGGGACTACAACAACTCGTCGTGGTCCGATGGTTGGGGCAGGCTGAAGCGGGCCTTGCTGGGGGCGGCTTGCGACTCGCGGCGAATCTTTTGGCTCAGAACGGCAGCGTCGTACCAGGTGAAGCTCAGCTCCGGATTCGAAGCATAGCGACCCAGAATTCGCAGCGTCTCGGCACGGCTTTCATCGTCGTACAGAAAGACGTAGCGTTCCGAACCCTTAACCAATGCCAATACGTTTATATCTTGACTCACCCGAGATGCCCTCCTGTTGGCCGCACTCTGTTGCCCGCTAAGACAACTCCAATCGATCCGTGACGTCGCAAAGTCTTGTTAATTGTCTTAGTTGTTATCGGTCGGGAAGGTGCATATACACCACTCGGGATTCGTCGCCACCTCCACGCGCTTCGAGCATTTCGGTGACGTGTAAGAAGCAGCAAAAGCGAACGAAGTCGTCCATTCGTTGCAAGTAACCAGCAACGCCACCGCTGCGACGCTCATCAACGAATGCCATGTAGTTCTTCAATTTGTTCGTGAATTCCCCGTCATTTCCGTTGTAAATGCGCGTGTGACTCAACACCGGATCATTCGACGGACTGGGAACTGGAAGACCATCTGCTGCTAACAAGCCACCATCAATTGCAGTAATACCAGCTTGAGAATCAGTCGTACCCGTTGTACCGCCCGCGCTGGCTGTGCGGGTGTTGACGCTGCTTTCATGCGAGATTGGATTGCCCTGCGTCTGTTCCTCGACGTCGATGCTCTCGCTTTCCACCTCGGTTTTCATGGTCTCTGGAACGCTCGCGCTGCCGTCACCACTGTCGCCTTGCACCGCTGTCGCTGCGGGCATATTGGCCTCCAGGAACTCTCGCGACATCGCCATCTCGGCTTCGAAGCGAATCGATTCAGGAATGTTTTTCTCGTCGCAGGTTCCCCACGGCAAACCGAAACCAGGGGGCGCGGGGTGCAAGAACGGGTTGGCTGCGTACCATTCAACTCGCAGCGCACACCGCGGTGGATAATAAGGGCTAAAGTCGGTCACGGCCCCAATCACCACGGCATCCACGTTCAACAGTTCCGCCAGACGTCGTACATCTTCTGGCGAACTCAGATCGTTCAGCTCGCGGCGATATCGTTGAAGTGCTACTTCGGTCACACCAATTGGGGTAACCACAAAGCCCGGGATGCGCTGCAGCTCATCGAAATAGGCCAGCGCAAACATTCGTCCGTCGACCGTGGGCTGGTCGCTTTGATTGAAGAACGGAACGATCGCGACCTTTTGCAATTGCGGAAACGGATTGTGAACCACCGGAACGACAAAGCGTTTCGGGATGAGCCCACAACCGCTTGCGAAGAGCAGTAGCGATAAAGTCAGCCAGCGAAGCATGGGTTCGCCATGAATCGAGTCTTCCCCCCTCGATCCGGCAACCAGCATGAGAGCCGCTGCTATTGATCAGCGGCGCAGCAGGGGTGCACTGGCCTCCTTATCGGTACAATCGGCAAAGTCTCTTCACTTTTCTCGGGCGCACATTTCAATTGGAGGTAGTGCTATCAGCGAAACGCCTCGAACGACGTCACACCCAGCGGTTCGCGGCAGGCAAACGGTTCTCCATACTCCGCACCAATCAGCCACCCCCAGTGAGCAGCTTCATCCCGAAATCGCTCGACAAGCGATGGGCCATCCCCGTCGCGACCTTCGACAAACTGACTGTGATAGCACTCGATGGCCGCCCGTTTTCGCTCCCAATGCTGGCTGATGTCCAGGATCATGGCTGGCTGAATCGCCAGCTTCAGATGGATGCTGTAGTAATGAAAGATCCGCTGTGGGTGAAATGGCTCGCCTGGCAAATCACTCTTTGAAAGCTTCGACCAGAAGCGGGCCGCTTCGACCAATTCCAGGGCGGCCAGGTGGTCGGGGTGGGCATCGTCCCAATACGGCGCGAAGATCCATCGCGGGCGAGTTCGTCGAAAGACTCCCGCTAGCTGCCTTCGGGCTTCGAGCGTCGGCTGTAAGCTGCGGTTCGTCAGTCCCAAGTTCTCGCGCCACTCGATCCCCAGCACCTTCGTGGCGGCCGCAGTCTCGCGAGCTCGAATCTCGAGAGAGCCGTGCGGAGTGGGTTCTCCGGATGTTAAATCGAGGATCCCCACCTTCTGGCCTCGTTCTACGAAATTCATGATTGCCCCCGCCATTCCCAACTCGGCATCGTCGGGATGGGGGGCTACTACCAGAATGTCTAACACGAGATTGTGCCCTCCAGTGCTTGCATGCTAGCGGAACTTCGGAAGCCTTCGTCAGAGATTGACACGACTGGCTATGCGAAACAAGTGGCCGGCGGCCGACTGCTCTAAATCCTCATACCCGCGGGGGCGAAGATACGCTCTGGACGTAACTTGTGAACTTTGTCAGACTTCTCGCCGGCGGGGCAGAGGACGACCCGTATTTGCTCACTAACGCTCGAACAATGCCGACAACGCTTCGCAAATCTGTCACCTACTTTTCCTTGCTGGCCGCTTTGGTGTGCACCATGTCTGGGTGTAAAGCTTGGCGCCTGGACGAAGAGAGCGTGCCGTCTTCCTCGAACGAAGAGATTCGGATAAGTCGTCCGTTGGATCCCACGACCAAGAGCTTCGGCTTCAGTTCGAAAGCTCGCGATATCGAGCGAAATGTCGGGATCCAATAAGTCGCTGGGTCCGGGCGTCGGCAATGGCTTCTACGCCGACGGTTCTCCCTGGGTATTCTGCTTGCCCTGTGGCTCCGCTACATTCCAAGTAGCTTCTACGAGTCTTCCTCTTGACCAGGGTTGAGTTGTCCATGGCCGGTACGCATGAAGAAACATTTGAATCACTCTGCAATCATGTTCGTCAGACGGCGGTGTTAGGTTCAATCGAACAGTTGCTCGGTTGGGACGAGCAAACTGGCCTTCCGCCAGAGGCCGCCGAATATCGGGCCGAACAAACAACACTGATCGCGGGCCTCATCCACCAGCGGAGCACCGACACGCAGTTAGGCGAGTGGCTAGCCGAACTCGCGGACTCTCCATTGGCCGAAGGCAAGGGAAGTGATACCGCGGTAACCATTCATCATCTAAAACGCGACTACGAAAAGCAGGTAAAACTGCCACAATCGCTCGTCGAGGAATTGACGCGTACTTCGGTCATGGCACAGCAGGCCTGGGTGAAGGCCCGCAAGAACGACGACTTCAAATCATTTCAGCCATGGTTAGAGAAAACGTTCGAACTCAAGCGGCAAGAGGCCGAGTGCCTTGGCTACGCCGAGATGCCCTACGACGCGCTGCTCGATCAATTTGAACCCGAAACGCTGACCTCGCAAGTATCCGAGGTGTTCACCGCCTTACGGGAGAGAATTGTCCCTCTGGTAACCGCCATCGCCGACAGCGGCCATCGCCCCAAGGTCGAGATGGAAACGCTCAGCTTCCCCACCGCCAAGCAAGAAGCTTTCGGTCGCGACATCGCCCAACGGATCGGTTTCGATTTTGACAGCGGGCGGCTCGACGTTTCGGCCCATCCTTTCTGTACCGATCTTGGGCCGCGCGATTGCCGTATAACCACCCGTTATCAAGAGTTCGATTTTGGCGACGCCTTCTTCAGCATTCTGCACGAAGCCGGACACGGGATGTATGAACAGGGGCTCCCCTCGGCTCAGTATGGTTTGCCGTTGGGAAGTTCCGTTTCGCTGGGAATCCACGAATCACAATCGAGGATGTGGGAGAACCTCGTTGGTCGAAGCCGAGAGTTTTGGGTCTATCTCTATCCCGAATTGCAAGCGGCCTTCCCCAACACGCTCACCCCGATCGCACTCGACGACTTTTACGCGGCGGTCAACACAGTGCGTCCCTCGCTCATTCGCACCGAAGCCGATGAAGTGACCTACAACCTGCACATCTTCATTCGGTTCGAACTGGAACAGGCCGTGCTCAGCCAGGACTTGCCTGTCGGCGATCTGCCGGAGGCCTGGCGCGACAAGTATCGCGAGTATCTGGGCATCGAACCCACCGGTGACGCCGATGGTGTGCTGCAAGACATTCACTGGAGTGCCGGACTCGTCGGCTACTTCCCTACTTACTCCTTGGGCAATCTCTACGCGGCCCAATTCTTCGCCACGGCCAACGAAGCCCTGGGCGACGTAACCACCCAGATCGCCCGCGGTGAATTCGCCCCGCTGCTGGTGTGGTTGCGAGAAAACATCCACCGCCTTGGGCAACGTTATTCGGCCGTCGATCTCGTGGAACGCGCCACCGGTCAACCGCCCTCCCACGAACCGTTTATCGCGAACCTAAAAGCCAAATTCGGCCCACTCTACGGGCTGTGACGCGAATGCTGCTAGGAATTATCACAAGCAATTCCCTCCGCAGGCGAATAAACCGAGGCGTTATCGCCTGGAATCATCATTGGATGGAGGCTGATTGTTTTGTATGTCGAACTGGACGGCGCAGAAGTCTTATAAATACGTCGCTCTTCCGTTTGGGGTGTACATGCTGCTGACAGGGCCAGCGTTGTGTGTGATGACATCACTCATGTCTGATTTCTATCTGTCGATGCAACCCGTTATCTCCGTCGGTACTAAGAGAATTGCTTTCTTGGTGATAGGAACCTGGATATTTTTCATGGGAATCGGCTTCCTCAAGCGTCAAGTGTGGGCACTGTACAGTTTCCTTGTGTACATAATCGCCGGATGTTTTGCCCACGTTAGTCTCGCTCTCATTGATCCAGACTCACACTGGGCCCTCTACTCACCATTGTTTATTCTTCCGTTTGGAGCTGCGATCTATTTCGCGACGCGACGAGCATTCATACCCACCGAGAGGGTCTAGCGACCAGTAAGGATGTGTTGCTATGAGTGATGTTCCAAATCAGCCCGCATCTATACCCGAAGACACCCCCAGCTATGCCAGTGTCTTGCAGTACATGCGTTATTCGCTCTCAGTCCCCGAACGCGCACTGCGGAGTGGTGCCGGGCTAGTCGGCGGTGCGGTAAGAGAAACAGCCGGCCTGCTTGTTCCCCAGGCATTTCAAAGTTCGAAGACCTACAGCGTAATGGTCCAGCAGATGCTCGACTTTGTGGTCGAGGATGTTGGTGGGGTCGCCCGCAAGGAAACGGATACGGCCTCGCCGTTGGTCGAAAACTTCGTTGCCCGAAAGACCGTGGGTAACTTCGTGGAGATGGCCGGCCTGGCCACGATGCACATTTCGCCTCTGACCGTACTGGCGGTGCTCAGCGATGTCGCCTACGGCTCGCAGTCGTTCCTCAAGGAATGGGGCGAAGAACTCAAGCGGCAAGGCATCATCGACGAGAACTCCACCATCAACCACGTCGACGATCTCCTCACCTCCGTCGCAGCCGCCTCGGCAACCACCGCCAGTGCGTTCGACACGCCACCGTTATCCGTCGACGGGCTCAAGCAGACCATCGACGAAACCCGTCGCAGCGTGATGAGCATCAACCCGACGAAGCTCATTCCTCAGGCCGAGTTGGAACGGATGTGGCGAGAAATGCATACCGTGGCCACCCGCGAGGGCGTTACCTTAACAGAACTTTCAACCACGATGACGCTCCACTCGCTCGATCGCGTCGGCAAACTCGGCAGCGGAGCCCTTTCCGGAGTCCGCGTAGCAGGCAACATCTTCGACCAGCACATCATCGACCATTACCGAACCGCGCTGGTCGACATCCGACGCGACGGGATGTACACCACCCTGGCTAGAAATGCCGCCCCATACATTGGAGCCGTGTGGCAGAACTTCTCTTCCGAGAAACCCACGGTGACCGACGAATTGATCACCGGGAAACTCGTCGGCCGCACCTGGACCAGTGTCCGCCGCTGGATGGGGCTCTCGGCCGCAGAACAAGCCCCGATCACTCCCTCGGCCGATCCACAGCACTCGCCCGCTCGAGAAAAGCCCATAACCGGCGAATAATCTCCCTCCAGGGGCACAGTCGGGGGCCTTGGGGGCTACACTTTTCTCCGTGGGCACTCTTGGCCCGCCTTCGTGCGGTCCCAGGGCTTGGGCGCGGTGCTTTGTCACCGTAGAATGCCGCACTTTGGCACTATGACCCGGCCCGCTCGCAACGACATGCATCAACCGCAGGCGATCCCCTCTCGTCCTCTCAGCGACCCCTTAGAACTGAAGCCTACATGGAACTCGTCTACACCGTAATTCTCGGAGTCGTACAAGGGCTTGCCGAATTCCTACCGATCAGTTCCTCGGGCCACGTTGTGATCGTCGGCAAAATCATCGACGCATTCACCGGCAAGACGCTGCCGAACCTGGAGACCACCAACATTGTCCTCCACTTCGGCACATTGGTGGCGGTGGTGCTTGTGTTTTGGAATCGACTGTGGCGACTGCTGGGCGAAGACCGACGGGCAATTGGTCTCCTGGCGGTTGGTACGCTGCCGATCATCGTTACCGGGCTTATCGTGAAGTTCTGCTTCGAAGAAGTGTTTGACAGCCCGATGTTCGCCGGGTGGATGCTGATTGTTACCGGGCTCATGCTCATCTGGGCTTCCCGGTTCCAGTCGGGCACCGTGAGTTACGTCGACATGAGCTATCGCCAGGCCTTGATCATCGGGCTATTCCAAGCTGTCGCAGTATTACCGGGAATCTCTCGTAGCGGAGCAACCATCTCGGCGGGGCTGTTTGTCGGCTTGAAGCGTGACGCGGCCGCCGCGTTCTCGTTCCTGTTGGCGATCCCGGCCATCTGTCTGGCGATGGGGGCGGGCATTCTCGACTTGATTAAAGAGGGGCCCGACGCCGACTCATTGGTGGCCCTGGGCGTGGGGGCCATCGTTTCCTTCGGCGTGGGGCTGGTCGCTCTGCTGTGGCTGCTGCGTTGGTTGCAGAAGGGGCGTCTCCGCGACTTCGCCTACTGGTGCATTCCGATGGGAGTTCTGGTTGTCGTGTGGCAACTCGCCGGCCGATAAGGCACTTACGATAACGCCTGTATGGCCGAATTCGGGCAATAGCCCACGGGCCCTGCTGGCCCTATAATGCATGGTGAACGAAGCAAAGAGTTGATACGTATACAGATGTGTCGCTTGAGAGCGACATTCCACTCACGCGACCACCGAGGGGGCGAACTGGGTTCGACCGGGTAGTCTGAAGTGGAAGTGGCGTGCCGTGGTTGGTCAGTTGGCCACGTTAAAAGCTGACCACTATCTTCAATTGCCGAAGATACCTACGCTTTGGCTGCCTAGTAATAGGTAGTCCCGACTGCGGGGCTTTGTCGGAGAGCCCCAAAAGTTGGTCACCAATTCCGAATCGCTGCGAGTCACTGTTGAGCACGCTCGCGGTTAAAACCCGTTCTCGACTAGCCTGAGGCAAACCCCGTCGGCTGGGGTTCTGATGGCGAAGTGAGGAAATAAGTCGACTACGCACGTAGAAGCTCCCATGGAAATGCCGCGGGACGCGGGTTCGATTCCCGCCGCCTCCACTTAGAATTTGAGGGGAAACATCGTGAACGGCTGGAGAATTTCCAGTTGTCTAGACCAACGCTGACTTGCAATTCTTCCATTGTCAGCATCCAGTCGTTCGACTTCGATAGTCGAACTACTTGCGGTGTTTTCACCGCTGCACTCCCACTCGTTTCTGACGATTCAAGCCTTAGCGGCAGCTTTGCGGCCGATCAATCGGCGAAGATGGGGCCTAGCTACGCCACACTGACAAGGCCTCCGCAGGACTTCAGCTCGAGCCGAGGGATATGACAGAGCCAGAGAACTTTACCGCTGAGACTCGGGTCACAACGGGCGGGAGTTGTCTCTTTGTTAAACAGTGGGGCTGTTTGAATTCGTCAACCGCTCCTGCGCCTATCGTCTTACTGCATGATTCACTAGGCTGCGTTGAGCTTTGGCGTGATTTTCCGCGCTGTCTATCGAAAGCCGTCGGTCGTCCGGTGGTCGCCTACGACCGCTTGGGATTTGGTGTATCTGACGCGCACCCTGGCTACCTAGATAAGGATTTTATTCGTCAGGAGGCATACGGAGGATTCGCTTCGGTCATCGAGCACCTGCGACTCAATCGCTTCGTTATGTTCGGGCATAGTGTAGGCGGAGGAATGGCCGTCTCGATTGCGGCAGCCTATCCAGATCGATGCATTGGGGTCATTACGGAGTCTGCCCAGGCTTTCGTTGAGGATTGCACGCTAGAGGGGATCCGCGTTGCGAAGCAGCAATTTGCAAAACCGCGCCAGCTCGATCGGCTGAAGAAATACCATGGGAACAAAGCTTCCTGGGTCCTCAATTCTTGGACAGAAACTTGGCTCTCACCCGAGTTCGCAGACTGGACTCTCGACAGTGAACTGCAGCAGGCTCGCTGCCCGCTGTTGTCTATTCACGGCGATCAGGACGAATTTGGAACGATCAAGCACCCCGAGCGAATCGCCTCACTCGCCGGGGGCCCCGCTGCCTTCTCTTGTCTGGCCAAGTGCGGGCACGTACCGCATCGCGAGCAACCGCAGACTGTTCTTAACGAAGTCGCGGGTTTCATTGGCGATCTGGGGTGAGAATGGAATCAACAAGCTCGGTAAAGCCTACCCACAAGAAACCACTTGCCGGTAAATCCTCAGGCTAGCTCAAATATGCTGCCGTCTCACCATCGGCATCTCGGTCAGGCTGCTCATGTCCTCAACTGGGGAGATGCACGCCCCTCGAACGCTACGAACGCTGTGCGATTGGGCTCATCCATTAGGGACGCCCGATTCACTATACTTGAGTTGCGTTGACCACCTTGGCTAGGGCAATCCAACGGGTCTTTCGGGGCAGGCAACTATGGACGAAGACCGCTGTATAGCAGACGGTTCGCGCAATTTCGCGGCTCTCTCCCCGCCTCCATCGAGTTTTGAAAGAGCAACGTTGGCCGCCGCCTCAATGTTTGCGGTCACCGTCTTGCTTGTGGTCGGAACGAACCGTGACGTTGGCCTTACCTGGGATGAGCCAAACTATACAAACAGTCAGCGGCTTCAGGCTCTGTGGTATCGTGATGCACTGCACGTCCGTAGTTGGGACGATCTGCGTTCAGTTCTTTCTCGCGATTCTTTGCATCGACATTGGGAAGCCGCCCGCGCGGGATTGAGTACCCATCCGCCGATGGCTAGCCACGTGGCGAACCTAACACTCGCAGTCGGTCAGCGATGGCTGGGTGAGCTTTATGCCCGCCGGCTTTCCTCCGCATTGGAACTCGGATTCGCGGTTGCTTTGCTCGTCTGGTTCCTTGGGCGTCGCTACGGAGTAGGCAGCGGTATCGTAGCTGGGCTTTCGCTGGTGTTGATGCCGCGGGTGTTCGGTCATGCCCATATCAACGCGACCGATATGCCGACGATGGTTGCCTGGGGTTTATTGGCAGTTGCGATCTGGGAAGCCCGGACTTCGAGGGGATGGCAAATCGCGGTCGCCCTCTGCTTCGCGGTAGCGTTCATGACCAAAATTATTCCGGTGTTGGCGATCGTGCCGGCCGGGATCATCGCGCTTTGGGAGTTGGTGACCGGAGACCCAGCGACAGGTAGGGAGAGGTCTGGATCGGCATATACATCGCCCTTCCGCGCAGCCTTCATGGTGTCACTTGCTTTGCCACTCGTCGTGTTCGGTTTCGAGTTGATGAGATTAGCTGTTGGAATGCGCGATGCCGTGGCGGACCCGCTCCAACCAGAATTGATGCAGTACTACTTGGCATCAATAGACCTGTTAAATCCGGGTGTTCACAGCCGGATTCCTGGTTGGTTTCTCATACTTCCAGCCGGTGTCTGGTTGCTGCGGTGGGGCGCAGCACATTGGGCCCGTCGCTCGGGAAAGCAAATTGAATTTTTTGCACCGGGCAGCCCCTATTTCGAAATGACCGCGGCGACACTAGCTTGGGCTCCACCACTCTGTTTGGCCCTACATCCCGGCTGGTGGCGCGATACTGCAATCCATCTTGCTCACTATGCCAATCTGGTCGTCGATCGCGAGGCATACCATCGCCCGATGGAAATTTACTACTTCGGGCAAACTTACATCGATGCTCTTCCATGGAGCAATGGCTTCGTATTGGCCGCGATCACCGTTCCCCTTGGAATCATCATTCTGGCTGCTGTGGGAAGTTGGTGGGCGATTGAGCAGCGACATAGCGATCTGCTGCCGCTGTACCTGTTTCTAGGGCTATTGATCCTGCCCGTGCTGCGAATGGTATCCTCACCAGCGCATGGAGTGGTGCGACTGATGTTGCCCACATTCTTCTTCATGGCGGCGTTGGCCGGCATAGGGTATTTCGCCCTTGTAGCTTGGTTTCAATCGAGAACCAATGATAGCGAGCAAGCCCCTCAGGCGAGAAGCACGCTCTACCCCAAAGGCCTTACTGCGATACTTCTAGGCTCTGCGGCTTTGTCGATGCTTGCGGTGCGACCCTATTACCTTGCTTACTACAACATCCTAGTCGGCGGTACGAGCGGGGCCTGGAGTCGAGGGTTGGAAACGACTTATTTATTCGATGCGCTGAACGCCGATGCGCTAAATAGATTGAATCAAACGCTGCCCAACAATGCCCGGTTGGGAGGTAAAGCCTCGTTGTTAGAAGAGTTACACAAGGTGGGGCACCTTCGACCCGACATAAAGGTCGCCCTCAGTCCTTCGTCATCCGAGTACTTCATCTTGATAGGGCGTAGTTCGTTCTCGCGGCCTTTTTCCAGACTGTTATACGGTCAACGGCCCATCAAAGTATTGGCCCAGCATGACGGAGTTGTCTTGGCAGCGCTGTACGACGCCCAGGCGATCGCACGAGTACGAGCATTGCAGTTGCTGGCAGCCATACAGGAACAGTCCATCGACCCGACGACAAACCGCATGCTCCCGGCCCTAGTCTCACCAACAATTTTGGAGATTGCCGAGAAAGACCCACAGGCCATTGCCGCTGGGGTTCAAATGCTGGTTGACGGAACCGCCTTTAAAACTCGCCCCACCGACGATACGACAGGACGTTTTCTAGATGCAGTTCTGGGTGCCACGCCAGAAGAGCAAGCGCAGGCGGCGCGAACGGTGGCCGACATCTGTCGCTTCAATCCACAGTGCCTTGGAGACGCGGCTTCGATGTTGATCCTGCATCGCCATGCGGTTGCCGACATGGTTTCCGCAACCGGCCTTAACCCTCTGACGCCACGTTTGAATGGCTATCTCGACGACTTCATCGAGCCTCGGCGCAGATAAGCCCAACGGCCAGGCACAGGATCGAAAACTACTCCGATCACTGCGTGCTCTATTGGGCAACTAATTCAGCCGCTCGAAGACTCCTAAACTGTTGATCTCAGCAGGGTGGGCAGACTATTCTGGAGCACATCGGCAGACGGAACACCCTCAGGAATGTTTAGCGCCCACAATATTTGCTACACATTTCCACGCAGAACCCCACGCGGCGACTGTTTTCGAAGTCCGATCCCTCCTTGAGTTTCGCGTTGTTCCCCCCAAAGTTTTATACGCGTTCGCCAGAATTACTAGCAGGGAGCCATTCCTACGCTGGCGTTGGCGTAAAGTCTCTCTACGGAAAGATGATGTGCTGCAGATGTTTCTCACTAAGCCAGCTTCTGCCCACATTTTGAATGCTTTCATGCTGATCATGTGGGTGATTGCCTCATGCAGCGGGACTGCCTCCGCTGACATGATTTCGAATCCGTTCCCCGGTGTCACGTTGACCGAGCGCGAGTTTGCCACACTTCCGACCTTGTATTTTCAGGAGTTTGTGTTGCAAATTGACCTGGCCACGCCGGGCCTTCGATTCGAAGTCACCGAACCGAATGGAGGGCTGCCTGCTGGGACGGAAACCGATCTGGAGACCACTCTCGACTTTGTGCTACGCAAGCAAGCTCAAATTGGCATCAATGCGAATTACTTCGATAACAGTGCCGCTGCTCAATCACTCGGAAGCACCGATGTCCTGGGTATCTCATCATCCAATGGCAACACCTACTCGGCCGGTCATTCCGGGTTCAATCGTGTGCTAGATATCAGTCGAGAGAATGTCGCGAGCATACAGACATTGTCCTCCGGCACCCCCGCTGGGCTCTACAACGCGGTGGCGGGATTCACCATTGTTACGGGTGGCGTTCCGCAGGGAGCGAACGGCGGCTCTCGTGCTAACCGCACTGCTGTAGGATTGGATACCGATACGGACACCCTGCTGTTCGTCGTCTCTAACGGGGGCTTCTTGGGAAGAACTAACTTCGAAACGGCAGCTACTCTCGTAGAGTTCGGAGCCAGCGAGGGAATCATGCTGGATAGAGGAGGCTCCTCTGGTCTCGTCATCGATTATCCCGATGATCTACTGGGGGCACGGGAACTGATCGATAGCAACCGCCGGGTCGGCAATAGCCTCATCGTGTATGTGGTCCCCGAACCGGCTACTTGGATGACGATGTTCCTTGGCACTTTCTGCCTGCTCTTGCTCCACAGGGGATGACGGCGAGTTGCCATCTGGACCAGTTGACTGGATTCACTCAGTGCATCTGTAGGAGATTGTCGGACAAGTCTCGTGAAGCTGGCACAGTTACGTGTGCCTCCCAGTTCGCGATCTCTGAGGCTGCATCAACTGGGCCTGATAGCGTTGGCACCTCCATCCCTCGTGTGAGGCAGAGTGCTCACTCGCAAGGGCTAGGTTTCTAACGCCAAAGCAATTGACACGCCCCGGTGCGGTCTCGGTTCTACTTGCCAACGATTGCCGGTTCGTAATGTGCGATAACGCATATCGAATCGCATTGCCGTAAACCGAAACTCAGTAGAAAAGAATCTGAGTTCATTGAAATAGCCCAACAGTGCTAGAATCTTCGACGTGGGAGTAGCGGGTCACGAAGTGTCTCATCTAAATAATGCCGCCTTGGGCATGCTTGTAGTGGCTCGAAGCTGAATGCAAAGAGCGCCATGAAATCGATGGGGTGGTTGAAGGCATGGTCAGCGAGAATGGTTCTAGCGTAAATTTACGAGTGTGTTTAGAAGCAAGTTTGCCCGGCATTTATCTGTGGGAATGGGATCTTGCTTCTGACCAAGCAACAGTTTCACCGCAGTGGAAGCAGCTCAGGGGAATCGCTGATTCGGTGGAAATTGGTTCGCTGAATGAAGCGATGCAGCACGTCCATCCTGACGATCGCATTCAGCTAAAGAGCTATCGCGATTCGTTAATCCAAGGTCGGGCGGAAGGCTTCTCGCTCGACTATCGAGTGCAAGCCACTGACGGATCATGGGTTTGGCTTGAGGAGCGAACTCGTTCCATTCGAAACCCAGACGGAGAGGTCATCCGGCTGAGTGGTTGCGAAGTCGAGATCACCGAACGCAAGCTGAAAGAGTTGAGTCTAGAAGAAGAGCATCGCGCAAATAGCGAACTTCCGGTCGCGGTGTGCCGCTTCGAACGTCAGCAATGCGTCGGTGCGAATGAGGTCTGGAGCCAGTTGGCAGGTCGCCCTGCGGAGTCTGCCATAGGCGATGGTTGGCTCGATGCCATCCATCCCGACGACCTCGAGGCCGTTCTCGAACGGCGAGATGCGAATCGCTTTGGTCCTGCCGGCGAAGATCGCATCGTTGATGGGCTTGAGGGTCGCTATGTGCTTCCGGATGGTTCCATCACTTGGATTCTGGCGAAGTTGCACTTGAGGTACGACGCCGACGGAGAGTTGGAGAAGCAAACGGTCGTCGTGGTCGATATCTCCGCCCGCAAAACTCTTGAGCAGCACCACGAGCGACTCATTGCAATCTTAGAGGCCTCCACCGATTACATCGGAATCGCAACCCCGCCTGGCGATATCCTTTGGCAAAACAAGCCACTGAGCGAACTACGCGACCATGTCGAAAGACGCGTCGCCGACGAACATCCCGAGTGGGCAATGAAACTGCTTGAAACCGAAGCGATTCCAACTGCCATCGAGACAGGGAGTTGGTCTGGCAAGTCGGCCCTGCTTGATGGCGAGGGCAAGGAGATCCCCGTCTCGCAGGTTGTTCTTGCGCATCGAAACGCCGATGGTGAATTGCAGTCGTTCTCCACCATCATGCGGGATATAAGTGCGCAAGAGGCGGTCGAGCGCACCTTGCGAGAACGCGAACGAACCTTTTCAAGCCTCGCAGCGGCAGTGCCAGTAGCTATCTTCCGCATGAGCGAACTCTTTCAGTGTGTCTATGTCAACCAGCGTTGGGCAGAATTCTCGCAGCGTCCGGTGGAAGCTGCACTGGGAAATGGATGGATGAAGTTCGTCCATCCCGACGATCTGAAGCGACTCAAAGCCCACATGAGGGTATTCGCGAAAGATCCAGCACAAGTCTTTCTGGAACCATTCCAAGTAAGAAAAGTCATGCCAGATGGCTCAACCCGTTGGGTGCTTTGTCACGCCGCCAAAGAGCTGGATGAGGCTGGCAACGTCACAGGGTACGCCGGCGCAATAAGTGATCTAGACCAAGTCAAGCGAGTGGAAGCCGAACTCCAGCAGGCGAATGAGCGGCTTCGTAAGGTGCTTGAATTCAGCGCGATCGGCACTTGGGAATGGTCGTACGTCGAGCAAACTCATTCGGTCGACGAGCAGTCGGCAAAGATTTTCGGCGTCGATCAGAAGGACTTTCCAACCACTTATGAAGGAGTGTCACAGTTCATACATCCCGACGACTTTGAGCGGGTTACAGCAACTTGGGGCTCTGCAACGACGAATGAGCGTGGGGCGGCGACCGAAGAGTTTCGCATTGTTCGCCCTGGTGGTCAGGTGCGTCACATCTATGCGAGCATCTTTGTCGAAAGGGACGAGCACGATCGGCCGGTCCGCGCGGTCGGAATGCACATGGACATCACCGATCTGAAACAGACGGAAATAGCGTTGCAGGAATCGATGAGCCGAATGGAACGCATGACCGAAAACGTCCCGGGCATGATTTATACGTACGTTGCTCGAGCAGATGGAAGTGAGGCACTAACCTTTGTGAGTTCCACTTCTACGGAGTTATTCGGGGTCGATCCTCGCCAAGCCCGAGGCAATATATCGAATATCTGGGAAGTGATTTTGCCGGTGGATGCCGGGCGCGTTCGAGAGGCATTACGTCTAAGTTCAAGAATGCTCCAGCCGCTAAAGCAAGATTTCCGTGTAAATCACCCCCAGCGCGGACTTCTGTGGTTGCAAACCAGCGGGCATCCGAGAAGGACCGACGAAGGAGACACGATCTGGGACGGTGTCGTCATCGACATCACGGACCGCAAACAGGCACATCTGAAACTACAGCTGGCGAATGATGAACTTGCCAAAGCTACGCAGGCCAAGGATCAGTTCCTAGCCAACATGAATCATGAGATGAGAACACCCCTGAGTGTGATGCTTGGCACCACCGAAGGCCTTCAGCAAGGCGTTTACGGTAACGTGTCTGATAAGCAGCGAGATGGTCTGAAGTTAATTGAGCAGAGTGGCAACCATCTTTTGCAGCTAATTAACGAGACCCTCGATCTGGCAAAGATCGAACTGGGACAAATCGACCTTCAATTGGCAGCAGTCAATGTCTCGCAACTCTGCGAGTCCAGCTTGCGGATGGTCGCATTGCAGGCTGGGAAGAAAAGCATTCAACTGAATCTAGGGGTTCCGAAAGGATTGCCCGACATCGAGGCCGACGAGAACCGGTTGCGGCAAGTACTAATCAACCTGCTGGGCAATGCCATCAAGTTTTCACCTGAGCGAGGGCGTGTTTCACTGATGGCCGAGAGAGTCGAACCAACTGACAAAGTCCAAAAGGAATTGCTTCGGATTTCAGTAACGGATACCGGGATCGGCATCCACAAAACGCACATTGAATCGATCTTCGAACCATTTGTTCAAACCGACACGTCGCTTAGCCGCGACCACGAAGGTACCGGGCTGGGGCTGGCGTTGGTCAAGAAGTTTATCGAACTTCATGCTGGAAACGTAAGTGTCTCCAGCGAACCAGGAGAAGGAAGCTGCTTCACAATCGATCTTCCTTTTCGCCAGGCCGTCACATCACCGCGGGTCGATTCAGTTCCAAATGTTCCTGCTGGGCTTTTACAGATGAGCGACTGTGCCGAGTCAGCCGAACCGGCCTCTGTGCTACTCACCGAGGACAACGATGGTGTCGCGGAATCAGTCGTACTCTATCTGGAGACTATGAACTTCGAAGTTACGGTGGCCCGCGACGGCATCGCTGCAATCGAGGCCGCCAAACGCGAACTGCCCGATGTCATCCTGATGGATATCCAGTTGCCCAGGCTCGATGGCTACGAGGCTATCCGGCGGATTCGCGGAATCCCTTCGTTGGAAAAAACGCCAATCATCGCCCTCACCGGTCGAGCCATGCCACAAGAGCTGGAGCGCTGCCTCGACGCGGGAGCGGACCTCTCGATGAGCAAGCCCTACCAGATGCTGGACCTCGTCCACAACATGCGACAACTCCTGGCAAGCCAAGCGAAGTGACGTCGGCTTTCAGGCTGCTCGTTCAAGACAATTCCGCTAGAGCGGCACTAGCTGTGGGGCACGTCTCAGCCCACGGCTCAATCAAAGCCTTAATCCCGGATAAATGACTGCTTTCGGTCAGCCTTCCCACTGCCAGCAGATAAAGCCATGGCACACTCCAAACGACGTGATCCTAGTACAGGCATGCCAGAGTACTCCGGCAAAGACGGTTCCGTCCGCCGCCCTAGCCGCTGAACCTTATTCGCTATAATTGAGTGTGTTTAAGCAACCGACGGTGGGGTGGTCGTCGCTCTTGCGATGTTTCTCTCGAGCAATCGCGCTGCGGTTGCAGGTGTATCCAGAATCGTGACTGACTCTCAACTCCCGAATTCCGATTCCGCAGACGAGCCCGCGCCCGAGTTGGGTTTCGATTACGCCGCGGAGAAGGTACGCGAGTTCCCGCAGTCGCCCGGCGTCTATCTGATGAAAGACGCTGCCGGTCGCGTGATTTACGTCGGAAAAGCCAAGAATCTTCGCGCCCGAGCGGGCAGCTACTTCCTGAAGGCCGCCGCCGTCGAACGCCGCACCGCCGAGTTAGTGCGTGAGATCGCCGATATCGACTTTCTGCCTACCGATAGCGAGGTCGACGCCCTGTTGGCGGAAGCTCGCTTGGTCAAAGATGTCCGCCCTAAGTTCAACGTCGAACTGAAAGACGACAAGAGCTTCCCCTACCTGGAGATTTACACCCGCGAGGACTTCCCCCGCGTGGAATTCACCCGCGAGCCGCACGACCGGGGAACGAAGCTCTATGGCCCCTTTGCCAACGCAGGCAGCCTTCGCGGCGCAATCCAGGTGCTGCAGAAGATCTTCAAGTTCCGCACTTGCTCCTTGGACATCGACGAAGGTGACGAGAAGTGGAAGTGGTTTCGCCCCTGTCTGCTAGCGAGCATCGCGCAGTGCACGGCGCCCTGCAATATGCGGATCTCCAAGGAAGAATACCGCCGCGATATCACGCGGTTGAAGATGTTCCTGGAGGGTAAAAAAAGTTCGCTTTTGAAGCAAATGAACCGGGAGATGAACGAGGCAGCCGAGGCACGCGAATACGAGAAGGCAGCCCGACTGCGGGATGAAATCAAGATGCTCGAGACGCTCGACCGCCGGGGCGAACTCGACACCCATGCTCAACCCGAGGTCTTCTTCGTCGACCCGAAGAAGGGGCTGGCCGGCCTCAGGCAAGTGCTGAAGCTTAAGGAACAACCGCGCACGATCGAAGGCGTAGATATTGCACATCTCGGCGGGGGCGAAACCGTCGCCAGTCTCGTTCAATTCATCGACGGTCTGCCCTTCAAACCGGGCTACAAGCGATTCAAGATCCGCTCCGTCGATGGCGTGGACGACTTCGCAAGTATTCACGAGGTAGTCTTTCGCCGCTTCCAACGCCTCAGGGACGAAGGCGATGTGTTCCCCGATCTGCTGCTCATCGATGGCGGACGGGGGCAACTCAACGCTGGCCTGGCCGCGTTCAAACAGCTAGATATCGAGCCACCCACGGTGATCTCGTTGGCCAAACGCGAAGAAGAGATTTATTTACCGCACAAGAGCGAGCCGTTACGGCTGAGTCGCCACTCGTATGCCTTGCGGTTGTTGCAGTACGTTCGCGATGAATCTCACCGCTTCGCCCAGCATTACCACCACATCTTGCGAAGCAAATCAACGCTTGGCGAGTGACCCTTCACCCTGACCACGTGAACGCGGCACTATGCGACGGCTGCAAGTCTGGGAGCGGGTTCTAGTTGGCTCTGCACTTCAGGCCAACGACGCAGTGCAACAGCCACCAGGTGACCTCCGAAAGCGACGGAGAGTTTCAGGGCGTGTTCGAATTGATTCCGGCGGCCGACCAGCGGAATGCAGTCGATATCGCATTCAGGGTCGGGGTTCGTCAGGTTGAGCGTCGGCGGCACGAAACCGTCTCGCATGGCGAGTGTCGTCACTGCCAACTCGACACTGCCCGAGGCGTTTACCAGGTGCCCGAGCATCGACTTGGTTGCACTCGCACAGGTCTTGCTCGCTTGCGGTCCAAATGCTCGGCGGATCGAGACCGACTCGACGAGGTCGTTCTGCTTCGTTCCCGTTCCGTGCACGTTGATGTAGCCCACATCGCTAGGCGAAATCCCCGACTTATCGAGCGTCCGCCGGATGAGGTAGGTGAGGGCCTCCGATTCGGCATCGAGCCCAGTGACGTGATGGGCTTGGGCCAAGTGCTTTCCGGCCAGAACTTCTGCGTAGATTCTCGCACCGCGCCGTCGGGCGTGGCTCAGTCGCTCGACAACGAACATGGCCGCCCCTTCGCCCATGACGAAGCCCTTGCGGTCGATGTCGAAGGGCCGACACGCCCGTTGTGGGTCGTCGTCGTGAGCCAGCACACGCATGCGTTGGAAGCCAGCGGCGAACAGCGGATGAATAGCTTCAGCGCTGCCTGCCAGGGCTATGTCGCATTGATTGTCACTCACGGCCCGCACGGCGGACAGAAAGTCGATCAGCCCGCTGGCGCACGCCACCGAGTGCGAAAACCTGGGGCCACACAGCCGATAGCGGTTGGCCACTTCCGAACACGATGCGTTCGGCAGAAATTGTTCCCACCACACGGGTTCATAGGGACCGCGTTGAACGCCAAAAGCCGGGTCGTCGATCCAACCAGTGTCGCCAATATGCCCGCTGATCGCACAACCGAATCGATCGAGGTCGACTTCCGAGAAATCAATCGCGGCATCGGTCACGGCCTCGGCTGCTGCCGCTTTACACAGGCTGATCTGTTTCAGCTGACGGGGGATCTCCCCGTCGATATCGAGCGTGGCAGCCAGAAGTTGTCCATCCGGAATGCCAGGCACTCCGGTTAACCAGCGCACCCCGCTGTGTCCCTCGCGAACATTCCGCCACACGGTTTCGCGGTCGTGCCCCAGGGATGTCAGCATCCCAATGCCGGTAATCACGACAGGGTCTTTGTTGTCCAACTCCGATGACAAACGACTACCTCGTCTCGTCAGTTTAGGCAGCCCAGGAAGACCTGGCCGATGTGTCACTACAAACCGCACTGCCGTCATAATCGGCCGACGACAGCCTTCGACTTCACTAGGCGAACACCTCACGAAGGTGTGGCGTTGTAACAGAACCTTCCGACCGCCGCGATACATTCTGGGCGAACTGCGTGAGCTGGCTGAAATGCGAAGAAAGTTTTTGGAAGTTCGTTCGAATGCTTGTTTGAGCCGTGATTGAGCGACGTTTCTCACGTTCAATGCATCGCGCGCCAATCATTCTTTCCAAGAAAAATTGGAAAGTGGTTGCAAAGCCTTCGCCCCTCGCTATAGTCTCCTCTTGTGGGAATTGGACCCAATTGAGTTGCTAAAGAGCATCTCGAGTGGGGATTCAGCCCACGCGAGCAAGCTGCTCATCTTACGGAACATAGGCAAACCATCCTCAGACTCGTTGACGCAAGACGGACCGATCGTGGGACCGAGTCGCAGCTTCCCGGCCGAAGGCACCGACTGTGGAGTTCATACTCGGCGAACATGCTCGATCGCTCGACGACCGCTATCGCCTTTCGGTGCCCAGCGAGTTGTCCGAGAAGCTTGCCAGCACCGGGGCCGAATTGATTCTGGCCAAAGAGCGGCCAGGGTGCTTAAGTCTGTGGAACGCCGACTCGTGGCAAGCGAAGCACGACGCCGAGGTCAAGTTGATCGAAGACAAGATGCGGGCCGGGAAACTCGAATCCAGGCTGCCCAACGTTCAATTGCTCGGACGTCTCCTCTCCACCCGGCATCGCAAGGTCACGCTTGCCGGTCGTGGGCGGCTTTTAGTGCCCGAGGGATTTCGGGAATTCTTGCGAGTCGACCCCGGCGGCGAGGTGCTGGTGGTCGGAGCGGCGATCTGCGTCGAGATTTGGAATCCCACCTACTGGCTGAAATACCTCGACCGACGGATGCCGCGGTACCGGCGACTTATGGATCGCCTCTCTTAATCAATGCACACACGCCATGCCCGGTGAGGACAGAACTTGCAGTCCTCGCCGTTGTCACCCGGGTGGACTAAACGCGACCAAGGATGGTCCTCGCAGGCACGGATGCCTCTTTTTTCACTCCCACCGGGCATGGCATTTTCTCAGCCAAGAGCTTTGCTCTGGCATCAGACGAGAGCGTGACCTGCAGAAAGGTTCGCAACCAGCGGGCTTACTTCCACCTACGCATCTGCGTTCGGCGGCTTAGGGGCAGAACTCGAAGGCACGATCGAAACGTAAGCCATTCGAAGTTCGTTCAGCAGGTTGGACAACATCGCGTTCTCATCTGCGCTCAAATTGCCCTTGGTCTTTTCTTCCAAAACGCCAATCAGGTCGATGAAGTGCTTCGCCTCTGAGCCCCGCACTTCAGGCTTGCCGGTCATGGGGTTGGGAATCTGACCCAAAGAGATCATCGCCTGCGAGGCCAACATCGATAACAGCACCGGCAGGCTGGCCGGAGGCAATGGACCCATGCCTTGCTCTTGCTCAGCCGCTTCCTCCTCGGGGGCCGGTTTCTCTTTGGCCTCCTGCTGAAGTTTTTCCTTCTCGGCTTGGGCCTGAGTCTTCCAGTCCTCGTCGATGATGATTTTTTTCTCACCGCTGTCGTCAGACATTCGTTCGCCTCTATTTTCTCGTGAAGAATTTTCGCCAGAAAGCTCTACGACTTGGCGTTTTCTTTCTTGCGTTCCGCCCGATGGGCACACCGCTCGACGGCCGCCGCGATGAAGCCTGCGAAGAGCGGTTGAGCCTTGGTCGGCTTCGATTTGAACTCGGGGTGGAACTGCACCGCCACAAACCACGGGTGGCTGGGGATCTCGACGATCTCGACCAGTTCCTCGTCGGGGCTCGTGCCGACCACCTGCATGCCATGCGCCGCGAACTGTTGACGATAGACGTTGTTGAACTCGTAACGGTGGCGGTGTCGCTCGTTGATGTCGCGGTTGCCATAACACTCGAGCGAATGGCTAGG